TCAAGTGTGGCAGCAGTAGTGAGGTTGGCCCAGGATTGGACATTGTTTCGTTCTGCTGTGCATGGGGTCGCTATGAGTCGGTTCTGACTCAATGGCACCTAACAACAACAAGGTAACCACAACAATGGGGTTGGGGTAGGGGGTTTAGTTCAGGTGTTGGGGAGGGCAATACAAGAAGGGGGAGGAGGTAGAAGAACAAGATAGATAGGGGAACACTGAGACAGGTTTGCATGTCTTAAGTGGAACAGAGGTAAATAGTGATGCATGCTCAACCTTGGAACAACAGGGCTCTGTGATACAGGGATTGAGGTATAGTTTGAAGAGGGGAAATAATGCTAAAATGCTTGACTATCTTATGAATATTGGTTTCCCTTGCCTACTATGGTAAAATAGACACTTGAGTGGGATAGAAAGGAATGTTGGGAAACATGATTAGAGAAACTTGTAAGCCCGTCTTCAGCCTATAACTGATTGGAATACCTAAAAGGGGTTCTAGAATTTGCCCAGTGAAATAGGCCTCTTGCAAAGCCTTTGTAGTGTATAGGACCTTAGGTGGGATCCTGAGTCCCATCCAGAACCTTCTTAGCTGGGACATTCCCACTAGCAAGGACAAGGAGACCAGCCTGGAACAGCTTGAGCAACAGAACATACATCTTCAAAAAAAGATCATCAGGAAAAACCCAAAACAAAAATGTTTAGCATGACTGGCTACTACATGAATAAGCAAGCTGTTCGCCAGGAAGAAATCAAGGCAAGCAATCAAAGTTCCTTCAGGACGAACTCCCATCTAAGACTGAAACTCAAAGGGAACACACAAATAGGCAAATAAGCTTGCTGGCGACCACACTGGTCTACTGGTGAGTAGAAGAGAGGGAAAGGCAGCAATGAAGAAATGGGCTGAGTTCAACCACAGTCCATTGATTCCCATTGACCTGGAGATGAGAGAGAGAAGAGGAAGGGCTATTTGGCCCAAAGTGTGGTGAGACCTGAAGACACTTGAGCCCATGGACAAGGACATAGCCACAGAGGACTAGAGCAGAGAGTGAAGCATCCTGCTGATATGAAGTGAGGGGAGATGCACAAGAACACCCAAAGTTGCAGACAGTACCCATTTGACTTAGCCTCGATGGCTTGATAATCAGAACTTGACTACAGAAAGATTATAAAAAAAAAAAAAAGAAGGGTAAATTGCTACAATTTGATGAACCTGACCTATACTCATGGAGGTTGTTGTTGTTGTTAGGTGCCATCGAGTTGGTTCCGACCCATAGCGACCCTATATAGGGTTTCCAAGAAGCAGCCGGTGAGCTTGAATCGCCGACCTTGCAATTCAAACGGCTTTGCAGTCTGGTGCATTAACCCACAGCACCACACCAGGACTCCACTCATGGAGGTAGTTAACTCTAAATATCAACAGAGAGGGAAGGAGTCTTCATATCAAGTACCAATGCTAGCCCCTCTGTACATAGGGTAGATAGGGGCGGGCAACTTAGACATTGGCAACTAAAATGAGGGGGTGATAAAGGCACGAAGTGACTGACAAGGTTTCAAGAGGGAGTTTAGTTTAAGAGTATGGAGGTAAGAAAGAATCCCGACTGAATAGTTGTCATCTTGTGCAGATGAGTCTGGTGAAAAGAGATGGGGATAATATTCTTATGATTCAGTGAGTAACTGTTATCATGACTAATTGCAACCGTCACAGTTGTAAAGGTAGAAGTTTTGTCACAAAAACAGGGAGTGGTTAATCTTAGTCCAGAAACAGAGGACCCTAGGACCATCAAAGGAGAAGAGCACAAGCAGAATGCAGGACCTTATCCAGAGAAGCAGCGATGCCAGAGATGGAGGCAGAGATGGGGTCACAGAGAGAGGGTGTGTCTGAGGACTCTAGATTCATGTAAAAGGAGGCAGTCTTGCAGAATGTGCCCTTTGGAGGTATAAATTATTATATATGCCTGAGGGTTTTGTTTTGTTTTTTTTCAAAAGCTAAAGTGAACAAGGGAGAAGAGCGGAGAGTGGGACCCTACCTAGAGCAGCAGAGATCCACATCTCTGATGTAGGCAGAGATGATGATGTGGAGAGACGGAGCAGCTTGGGGACTTAAGACCCAGAGAGGGAGAAGGGCTGTGTGCTGATGACCGGGTATGGGGGTGTGGGGGCAGGCTTGCAGGGTATATACCCTTTGGTGATGATGCATGGAAGGAATTATAACCATGACAATGAAACGATACATGATAGAATGAATGTAAACTAATGTTCTCCCATGTAAACTACCACATAATTCACAATAAAACATTTTTAAAAAAAAGCTAAAGTGAATAGAGAGAAATACTGTTAACTCATGGTACATGGAGGAGGGGATTAGAATTATTGTAATGAAACAAGGGGTATGATTTGTTGCATGTAAAAATGACGATCTGCCCTGTAAACTTTCACTCAATCCACAATAAAAACCTTTAAAAAAAAAATCCCAAATGCCAGTTTTAAACTTATTTCCTTTTATAATGTGTAGGTTATTTAAAGAGAGGTGCAAGGAACAAAAAACAATTGTACAAAATTACATACAACCAAATAAATATGTAAATATTTTGGGAAAGATGGTTTTAATCAGCTGGCATAAGCAAAGGCAAGATTTGTTTAGCGACAACTCAGGGGCCTGTGCTGGAAACTACCCTGAGGTTAACTTTAGAGATAAATTTTGTCCAACAGAAAAAGAAGTCAATGTGGGCTCCTGTCTTGGAGGAAGTCCACCCCAAACCTTCCGGAATACCTGAGCAGCATCATGCCGGGCCTGGGAAGTATCCCCGGGAACGTGGCTCACCAAGCTCAGGCCCTGAAGGACCAGAGCATCTGCGTTGAGGTCAAACAGGGAGACCAACGCAGGAGCTGAAACTGCGGCTGGAGCAGGGGACATGGCTGTGCAGGAATTTTGAAACCGCTCCTAAAGCTGAAAGGAGAATGGAACAGAACACCCTAAAGTGAGATCCTACTACCGCGTCTCCTGATGCCCAGACTTGGTCTCCTCTAGGCCTCGAAGTGAGCCCTGGTGTCACGCTGCAGGATAAGCACTAGACTGCTAACCGGTAAGTCGGCAGTTAAAACCCACCAGCCTCTCTCGGAAACCCTATACAGGATCGCTGAGTTGGAATCAACTCGATGGCACTTAACAACAGGCCTCGAAATGCCTTGGTCCTCACCCCGGTACTCAGGAATCAGATCCGGGGTAAATACGTGACCCTGATGGTTCTTTAAACCCCCAGCCACATGAGAGTGATAAGGGTGAACATCAGTCACTGAATCGAACCCAACAGAGTTATCACAGACGTTCCGTAACCTACCACTTCTTGTTACCCAAACGTAAGCTCCGGCATCTACTGAACTGCACAGACTGGCGTGCTAGGACAAGTTGCGCCACAGATCCCTGAAAGGAAAAAGGGACGCAAGACCACAATTCGAAGCTTGGATTTCTGTAACAAAAGTACCGTCGCTACGGAGCAGCGAAAAGGACAAACAACATCGTCCGCACCTCGGCCCTAACCCACGTAGAGCACGGTATTGGTTCTTTGACTGAACAAGACCCGCCTCGAGCCTTCAGTCCTGTCCTCAGAGTCGAGAATTGGCCGTCGCATCTCCACCCCCTATACTCATTGGCCAGGCTGGCTGCGGGTGACGGTGACTGGCAGACGCCGGGCCTAGAGCTCAGAGCCCGGTTGAACTGAGCCGAGCGAGTCCCTGGAATCACCCGGGTCACCGTTCCTGAGGTGAAACACTAGACTGGAATCCCAGGACCTTGACCAGGGCCAGGCCAGGGGTGCTCACAGAGCCCTAAAGAACCTCGCAGCTGGTAACGGGGAAGGGGCGCCGCGGGCGGGGCGGAGCCGCGCAGCCAGAATGTTTTGATAGCGGGGGCGCGCAGGCGGGGGCGCGCGGGAGGTTGTCTGCTGTTGGGAGCGGAGCCCTTGATCTGGGGCCAGGCCACCCTGGGGCTCGGCTTGTGGCGGCTGGATGTGGGAAGGCACCCCTGCCCATCCGGGGTTTCGGCTTTAGGCCTGGCTGGATCCCTCCAACATCTGCAGGAGCTCCTGAGCCAGGCCTCGCCGAGGCTCCATGGGCTCAGGGTCCACACCGACCGGGTGAGTGGTCACCTCCCTGATGGCTAGATCAGCTTCTCTGGACTCGGGGCTCTCACTAATAAGAGAATCCCACTGGGGCTCTCACTAATCGAGACTGGGGTCTGCCCTAACTGGGTGAGGACCACTGAGATCTTGTCTGACTCCAGACAACCCACAAATTCACATGGCATCTAGGGTCTCCACCGACCCAGTGAAGCTTGCTTGCTGAGTCTTTGGGAAAGGGTTTGATCAGAAAGAGTCACTTCAGAAAATACTTTTCTCTGGTCTTGGGCTTTTCTTGGATTTTCTGGATCCTAAAAGGCTTGTCTCATTTCTAAAGCCAAGGTGGGGCAAAGCGAAAACAGTCCAGAGGGGGCTTCCAGACAATCAGGCTGCACTGACTGACTCACCCACTCCATCAGGTCAAGAAGTCACTTCTGGGGACCCTCAAGATGAATGTGTCTTGCAACCAGAGGAAGTGTCCATAGCCCTATTCTAGAAGCCTCCTTGCCCTGAACTTGTGGTTTGTTGAAGTGCCTTCATGTCAGTTTCAATTCTTAACCACACTCTGTAGGGCTTGAAGAAGCAGCTGGTGGGTGTGAACTGCCGACTTTGTGGTTAGCAATCCAGTGCATATCCTAGAGCACCTCTTCTTAGTGGGGGGTGGGAGTGGGTGGGAGGGTTCAACCCCTATCTATCCCCACGTCCCAGGGCCTGACACCTTCTCCAGCAGCTGCAGAGCCAGGGCACCGAGGGCTGGAGTGGAGCAGACACTGCCCATGGAGCTGGTAGGGCCACGTGTTTATCTCAAACCTCTGTTTATTAAATGCTTCCAAACTGCTAGTCACATGGGCAGAGCAGGGGGAGGGCCCCTTCTCTCCATTGACTAGCCCCAGAAAACAGCCCTTCAAAGGGGCAGAGTGTGGCTTCTGGCCGACTGACTACAGTTATGACCTCCTAAGCCTTTAGGCGTTCACTACCTTCCTTGGGTTCCTACTTCTCTACCTTTGGGGGGCTGGAGACCAAGCCCAAGGATTCCTTCTAACTCCTTCTGGCCTGGTAGACAGGACCAGCAGGTGGGCAGTTTCTGGGCCTGAACTGGGGTCTCTTCTTCCTTGGTCCTGGCAGGTGGATAAGGCAGACAGGGGGCTGCGGTGATGGCGCAGTTTGACACTGAATACCAACGCCTAGAGGCCTCCTACAGCGATTCACCCCCCGGGGAGGAGGACCTGTTGGTGCATGTCCCTGAGGGGAGCAAGTGTGAGTGGTTGGACATGACAGCCAAAGCTGGGCCATGGGGACTGGGGGAGGGGGGACACTGAGGGAGCAAGGGGCTCATGTTCCTTCAGGGCTCTGACATCCCTGTCCCTATGCCCACAGCACCTTGGCACCATATTGAAAATCTTGACCTCTTCTTCTCTCGAATATCCTTTATGACTCTGAGTTGAGACTTTGGGATCTTTAGCTTCTCTCTGTGCCAAGTCCCTCATGGGATTTGGAGTGGGTTTGATTGTAATCCCTGGAAGGAGGAGGATAAGAAGCTGGGGAAACAACGATCCTTAAAACTCAGGATGCCCCACATTGGCTGAGAACTATTTGCCTTGTACTTTGTGGCACTCATTTATTTAAAAAAACTTATCTAAGGATGATTGTCCTTTTTGATGGGTTGCTAATAATCATAATAATTCATGTCTTTTGACTCACATTCTGTATCAGCTCTATGCTAAATATTTTACATGTATTATTTCAGACTTAATGGTCCTATAAAATAAACCTTATTATTCCCAGTATGATGTTGTTTAAGTTCCATTAAGTTCCTTCTGATTTGTAGTGACTCTAATGTTTCCAAGGAGCGGCTGGTTGGCTTGAACTGTTAACCTTGCTTATCCTACAGTGCCACACCAGGACTCAATTCACAATATACCACTGTATTCCCAGTATACCACTGTGGAAAAAAACTTCAAGGTTAAATAACTTGGTCAGAGTTACACAGCTAGAAAGTCAGAGCTAAGACTTAAGCTCAGTTATGTGACTCTAAAGTCTGTTCTCTTAATTGCTGCCTCTATCGACTACTTTTTCTTAACCATTATACGTTTATAATCTACACCAGAAGAATGGCTTCACCTGTATGCTCATTGGGGAAATCTTTGAACTCATGTAAGTATAAATAGGAATGGATGGGGTTGTAAAAGATATATATTTCAAGTCTTTCCTTCTCTGGCCCTGGCTGCCAATAATGCTTATTCCCAGGCTCAGAATGCTGCAATCCTGTATAAATCAGGGACTGGATATAGCACCCAAACTTCCAGGCGCACCTTTCTTATTTCCCTCATTGTTCTACCTCATCCATAAAGAGAACTCATTCTGGTCAGTTCATCAGAGCTCCAGTGGAATGGGCTTACTTGAGGAAAATGCTTCTATTCTACCTCAGTTGCACCTTAGGTCTAGCTAGGCAGAGAGACTTCCAGAAGGAAGGAGCCACGTGACACTGCCAAAGAGACAAGGGTTGGGAAGCCCGCCCTGAATAAGGAAGAGTACAGATCCCTGAAGGACTTCTTGCTGCCATCTCAGGAGGAAATCTGGGAGTGGGAAGACCCTGAGATGAGGAAAGCAGGCTGATTCTGTAGGCCCTGAGATTATGAGAAAGAAGCAGAGATGAGTTGGTTTGGACCAGAGAGTTCCCTGAGGCTAAGCACTGGGGGCCAGCTCTCCAGCCCTGTTTCCTCTGCTTCCAGACTCATCTTTTCCCATTGTATTCACTGGTGCCTCCCTGACTCTCTGACTGTGCTCCCTCTCCCCAACTCCCCAGGCAGTTCCTCTTTGTGGTTGCCTTTACCACCTTCCTGATCAGCTGTGTTGACTACGACATCCTATTTGCCAACAAGATGGTGAACCACAGTCTTCACCCTACCGAACCAGTCAAGGTCACTCTGCCAGATGCCTTTCTGCCTGCCCAGGTCTGCAGTGCCAGGTAAAGGCTGCAGGCTCTGCAGTGCTTTGCTGTTGTGCCATCGAGTCAGTTCGACTCATAGCGACCCTATGTAGAGTTTCAGAGGAGTGGCTGGTTAGCAGTCCAGTGCTTATACTACAGCACCGTGTCAGGACTCCTTGCTGTTGTTAAATGCCATCAAGTTGGTTGTGACTCAGAGCGACCATGTGTAGGGCTTCCAAGAACGGCTGGTGGATTTGAATTGTTGACCTTGTGGTTAGCAGTTCAGTGCTGATCCTACAGTGCCACCCAGGGCTCACCAGGTGGGAAATAGAGTGGAATTGAGGCTTTACTCATACCCAGCACAGACTCAGTCAGACTCAGCCTAGCACGATCCTTTAGGGCAGCAGCATGTCTGCCAAGACACTTTAAGGCCCACCCTTCACCCCTTCTCGCTCCCACCCAGGATTCAGGAGAATGGTTCCCTTATCACCATCCTGGTGATTGCTGGTGTCTTCTGGATCCACCGGCTCATCAAGTTCATTTATAACATTTGCTGCTACTGGGAAATCCACTCCTTCTACCTGCATGCTCTGCGCATTCCCATGGTAAGAGTGCGGAGTTGGGCAGTTAGCATAGCTCTTTTTCTGTAGCCTGGGAAGGATGGGACATATTCCTGAGCATCAAGGGTCCTCGTCCTCCATTGGCCAATCAGGGTGCATTTGCTTTGATTCCATTCAGCTAAGCACATGAGCCCTGAGCATCACATCTAACATAGGGCGCCCACCCTCCATATCTTGCCTCCTCTCACCCTGCAGTCTGCCCTGCCATACTGCACGTGGCAGGAAGTGCAGGCCCGGATTGTGCAGACCC